TCTTAAAGTGAGGAAGTGTGGTCAGGCTCTCTGCAAACAAGGGATGGGCCACCCTGCACTAACCTGTGAGTGGAAACTTCTTGTAGGAGACAACTGGCCAATGGTTGGAGAATTTGCTCTGGTTCAAAATTGACTTTGCTTTTGATTGTTGCCCATTTGCAATGAGGATTTCCCAAAAGATCACCCAGATTTGGCCAGAGCCACTTAGAATGCTGAATCCTTTCTTGTAGAATAGGTCTTTAATTCTACTGTAATGAGCCAGACATTGACTCCTCATCCTAGGTTCTAAAATGCAAATACAAAGCTCAATTGGATGCAGACAGCAGTAGGCATGAATTAGCCCATCCAGAGGACAGCTTTTGATTGAGACCAATTGTTTAACTCAGCCCCACTTCATTTCCAGTGGAAAACCCACCACTAATGTCTTTTGGCTGCAGCCAGGAGCTGGTAAGGCAATCAGGAAGAAAACAGATATAATAGACAGGGGATTTACAAAGGGAGGAGAGAGGAGGTGGGGAAGGCAGTGGGTGATACCTGTTCTTTTACTGTGTGCAGACTGTGCCAGGTACTGGGTTGGGTCATCTGTAGGCTTGTGCACCAAGAAGTAAGAATATTGTGGTACACATACACACCCGAACACCTTGCCAGCTGCACCAGTGAACCCCCACATAAAACTGTACGCTTAATGATCCATATTGACATCAAGTAGTATGATCCTGGAAGGAAACATATTTGCTCTGGCCATTGGGTGGTTAAAGTTGTGTAGCCTGGAGGTACTATTGGAGCCTAGGCAGAGATGGGTGTCTGACCCGCTCTCTCTGGCCTCCTTCATTGTATTTGGAATCATTTCAGCTCTTGCTTGTAGTATCTGCCCTCCATGGGGGAGTCAGACTCAGTCCAAGGTGCCTAGGTATGGACTTCCCACATTCTACCCTCCTCTGACAGTTTCTTTGGCAGCCCTGTGCTTTCTGCCCTCATCCCTAGCCTCTGTACTTGGAGGAAATCTCCCATGCATATAAATGAAGAAAAATAGATACAGAGAATGGGAGTCACTGTTTCAACAAGGCAGAAACAGCTGTTCAAAGTGCCTGACTGTGAACAGATTCCCTCATTTGGTGTTTAATCTTGTCCCATTAGGAAAACATTATTTTATCTGTTTTACGGATGATGAAGCCAAGGCTAGGAGATAGTAACTGGTTAGCAGCACTTTCTGACCTAATGCTGTGTTCTTTCTACCCCAGGGAATTGCTTCCTTTTTTATTAGGTTTGCAGATTCAGATTCCCCTTGTGATAGTGCAACTGCAGGCCCAGCAGGGGATTGTGCAGAACTTTTAAAAGCTTACCAGAGACAGCACAAGCCCAGGTGTCATGGATGCAGCTGCATGAGCCAGCACGGGACATGCTCTGTTCTGAGGCCATAACTCACAGGCTGATTTCAATAATGAAGAGTGTTTCTACAAGACAGGCAATGCATTTTCAAAATGAATTACCATCTTACTGTTGATTCTGCATAGTCGTTTACAACTACCACTGACAGCAGGATGCTACAATTAAGGTGAAATTCAAATATGCAAACCTAACAATTTTTTTGGCATTTTCCATTCATCTTAGAAAGTTTTGGCTGAGGAGGATGGGTGCCCCCATCCCAGAGCTCTACACACACTCTCTCATTGAGGCATTGCACAGTTCCATTGATCCCTCTCTTCTTGGAGATACAGTATCTTTATGTATCCAAGGCTCGCTTTGGAATTTTCATCCCCCTGCCTGGGTGCTGGAATTATAGGAGTGTGCCACTATATACAGTCCAGAATCTCTATTTTAATTCCACCCACGGTTCATTTTATTTTGGATCCTTTGTTCCTGAAAATAGTGTTAATTTCTGCTAATGCATAATAAATGGAGTTCCAGGCTTGGTGCTGGAAGATCTAGCCTTAGCCTGGCATGGCACTTTATAGTTGCACAAGTAGATCTAAACAATCTTGGGTTCGGTGATGGAAAGATTATACACCCATGATTCAGACTCCTTCTGTGAGGGATTGCAGCTGATCTGTTACCCACCCTAAACCTTAGTGTCTTCATCTCCAGAAGTATATTAGTATTCCTGGCATTGCAAGACTGCTGTGAGGATTGGAGTTCAAGGAGGTGGCAGGCACAGGAGCTGGTACTCCATAGTTCTTAGTTATTCTAAGAGATTATTATTAGTTATTCTAACTTCCAGAGATCATTTATTCAGTGAGTAAAGGAGTTTGTTGTGATTCTTAATTGAATCACCAGGACCAAGGTGGAAGGAGAGAACTAACTTCTGAAAGTTGTTCTCTGATCTCTACACATGTGCCCATGTAAACACACACACACACACACACACACACACACACACACACACACACACAAACACACACCCCACACATAGGCATGCATGCACACAAGCACATACATACATAAAATGAAATAATACAAGGATAATCTTAAAGGTAAAAATGATAAAATGTAAGTATTATGAAAACCATCTATTTTAATGGATCATTTGATAGCCATGCATCAATAGTTCTTGTTGAAGATCGAGTATTGTGTGGCATGAGAGATTATAAGGAAAACTCAGGTACAACTTACCCTATGGAAGGCTCACTTTCCAGAGAGCCTCTACACTCTAGTAAACAATAGGAGAAAAATTTAAAGTTCTATTATGTGGGTTTGCATCTTCCTTAGGATCATTGGTGCACTGGTCCACAAGGGTGGAGGGAGCAGAAGTGGGAAACAGGGATTGGATGGCTGTGGGTATGATAGAGACAGCCTTCCAGATGACTTCAGTGAGTCAGCTCAGCTTTATCCCAGAGTATAGGAAATATATAGGAGTGGGGAATAAACCCTAATTTGCATTACGTGGCATGTCCTATCATAAGGATTCATATGTTGGCAGTAGGTCCTGTAGCAAAGCTCCTCCTAGTACAAGTCCTAGTTAGCATATGTGCATTGGAGCAGGAGAGTGATGGCGGATTCCATTTTCTTTAAGATGAGCTCATCCCTGATGTGGAGGGAGGAGATAATGAGGCCCACCAGGAGTTAGTTTAGAGTTCCAGAGAGGAGGGGGAATGGGGCCTGGAATGGTTTATGGTAGTGAAGATAAAGCAAGAAGTAGGGAACACTACAGAGGAAAGCAATATAATTTAAACAACAATGTTGGAGGATGTGGGGGAGAGGTGGCTAAAAGCCAGTCAGGAATGTCACTAAGGATTGGGGTAAGTAGAATACTCACTAAGTAAACTTCAAGAGGGATATGGACTAAAGAAAACATGCCATCATCATACATGTAAAAAGAGGAACCCAGGAGTTCAGGGAAGAGGAAGGCAGGCCAGACTCTTGTAGACAGTGTTTCCCACATAGGTTCTATTGACACTTGGGTTCAGATATCTTTCTCAGTAGTGGGGACCCCTGTGCATTGTGGGATATTTAGCTACATACCTTTCCTCTATCCACTGGTTTCCAGTAGCACCCCCATGGGGGCAATCACAAGCATCCTTGGGCACTGCCAAATGGCCTTTGGAGGGCATTCTCACCTCTACTTGAGAAGACAGTGCTAGGGGAGTTCTGTTCCCCATGAAGAAATCTATGGAAATGGTTCCAGTCCCAGGGAGCTCTGTATGTCTGAGACAGGAACTCTGTCATATATTGGATATTGGGGTTAGGAGAAAGATGGGTCAGATATAACCTCAACCAGATGTAACACTCCCATCTCCACATTTACAGACCCAGCACAGAAAATGCCAACTTGGTTGCTGGTGGAAAAAAAAGTTTTCAAATAATGTATACACATGGGAGAACTGAGGCTAAGATGTAGGAATCAAAACTGACGAGAAGTAGGAGACACAGTCTTAGGGTCCTTCCATTCAGAACTGGGGCTCACATCTGCCAAGTTTTGCCTATGTCTCTGAGGAGAGGAAAGAAGCCATGACTGACTGCCTTTCTGATGTTTCTACATATGAATCAGATATGCATTTCTCAGGCATTCAAGCTAGTCCTGTGTTTCCCTATTGAGGTCAGTAACGATATAACTGGTTAGTCCTACTAAGACAAATTTACACCTCTGCAAGCATAGGAAGACAACTGTGCATCCTTGAGCCAGTTAGTTAACTGACCTCAGCTCCCACTTTTTTAATTGCAGTATGGATTTAGTACTTTCAATGTGGCAGACTTTTTGATTGAAGATTAAAAACAACATGACATATTTAGTGCCTACCATATAGTAGTAATCAATGGCTTTTGATTATTTGCTCATTTATCTTCTGTCCATCTCTATTTACTTGGTTTAATTTATGTCAGGAAGAGTTGAAGATTATATCCAGGTACGGTATCTTCTGTGCAGATGTGGTGGCTATGATTTGCATTATAGTTCCAGAGAGAATTTCTTTAGATGTGTATTTAAGACATCTGGTCCCCCTGAGACATAAATGTGTTCTTAATTATACTCAGTGTTTGTATCAAAAGTAGAGTCCAGTGAATCACATGCATTGTCAGGCTCCAGATGTTTGGTGTATATAGCAGAACCTCTATGAAACTGTTAAGATTCCTGCACCTTCATGAATGCTCTCATCTGAGCTGATGTACTAGATGAGCCTTGTGCCTTGCTGCTGTCTTGAACAACAGACTCATGTGACCTCAGAAGCTCCAAGAGCCACTAGAAAGCACTGGGACTCCTGCAACTGCATCTTGGGGATGCAGTAAAGAGAAAATTCTTTACTGAACTGATTTGAGTTAAATATCACCTTTCCCTAACTATGTGGGTATTTTCCAAAAAGGGCTAAAGGGCTTGGGGCCATTTTGATGGTGTTTAGCTAATCAATACCTTGGTTACTAGTTAATCACATTGAATGGGAACTGAGGAACTTCTCACCGTTTTAAACATCTGATAGATGTTTGGAGTTCCAGCCTGACGGTACCTACAACTTCTAAAGTAGGCTATTTTTTTCTTTTATATAGATACTAGTTGGTGACTTCTGGATGACATGCTTGTAGTTGCTTTCTTCGGCTTGGCTTTGATGGCATGGCACCCCGGGGTAACCGCACAAGAGAAGGTGAACAAGTAAGTGGGCTTCAGGTCTTTGCACACCTGGGATCCTCTGCTGAGGGACTAAGACACTGTGAATGTTGGCAGTGGGCTGTGTTGGCATGGAATATAACCATTTTTCCACACTGTTACTAATCCAGTAAAGGAACTGGAACAGGGAACAAGCCAGTTAGTAGTAATCTGATCCATCCAGCTATGAGTCACCACTCTAATACTCAGCGCTGGGGTAATCCATACTAAATCATTCAATTTCTCTGTCTCTCAGTTTTGCATCTGTATACTGAGACTCATATATAATACCTCCTTTATAACAGTTAATGTGGATGTAATAAAGTCCAGATTTAAAATGTCCTCTGCATACAGTAGGCATTTAATAAGTAGTATTTTTCCTCAAGCAATGTGAGGCAGTTAACCTCTACTTCATTGTCTATAAAAGAAAATAGTAAAAACCCATCCCACCTTACACTTGTTAGGAGGATATATTTAGATAATATATGCAAATATTTTTGTTGGGGGGGGTTGGGAGCAAGACACCGTAGAAAGACACAACCATGTCATTGCAAATCTTTGCTCTGGAATGATAGCAGAGGTAATATTTTCCCATGTCTGTGGCATTTTGCCTATTCTATTTTCCTGAGATTTCCAACCTGTCTTCATTTGTTTATATCTCTCTTTTGTGGTTCTTAAGCAGCACCCTAATCTCACTTTTGGGATAGCTCTTAAGTACTCTTTGTCTCTCAAAAAATTTTTAATAGAATTACTTTATTCAAATTCCTATTAGTTGACTCAATTTCCAATCAGTATTGTTTAAATGCTAGAGTAAGAGCGATTCCCTTTAAGTAACAGTTCAGAAGGGAGGAATGTGTTTTACAAGCAGACAATCTGTAACTTGTATTTAAAACAAATACACTCTTGAAACATCATAAAACTCATCACTAATAATTAGAAGACACAGGCACGAGGTCGGTAGTGAAGGAAATCTCAGTTGAGATACTCTCAATTATAAAAGCATATCACTGTAATCCTTTCTGAAAACGAACAGAGTCTTGATGTTTGATGAACTTATCAAACAAGACAGATCAGTGAAGAGGCAAAATTCAAGGAAGGCAGAAGAGCTCCAATTCACCAACCACTTTACAAAGTGCTGAGGGAGAAATGATGGTGCTCTTGTGTTCACTGCCTGTGCTTCTGACATTGGTTTTGAAAATAGAAAGTTACATGACAAAATCATTCCCCTGGGTTCAAATCCCCATGCTGGCATTTACTATGAATAGCTGTTTGATCTTGAACAAATTGCATAACTGTTCAGGGCTCCATTTGACTTGCTTGTAAAATGGGAGGAAAACAAGAGCAGGGATTAAATGCCTGGAAGTACCTATAACAATGGAACAATGCCTCCCACTTAGTGAGTATTCACTAAGAGCTGCTCCCAGTGATAGTGACGGAATGATTGTGATTGTTGGTTTTGCCATTTGTTTGGATGGTTGACAGCAATCAGAAAGAAGAAATTTATAATGTGCCAATTGGCTCGGGTCTTCCAGATTTTCCTGATCAATTAGAGACTTCAACTTTTTGTTGGATTTTTAGCAACAGCACTTGTTTTTTTCCCTAAATAAAATTCCACGAGAGCCCTAACATGTAAGGATGTAAGGTGTGTGTGTGTGTGTGTGTTTAATGGTGCATAAACTTTGTAAACTCACATTTAACGTTTGCCTATTATCCTATCTTGAGAGAAATAGGGCTTATGTAAGTATAAAATCTTAAAGCCATGGAAGGAAGCTACAATTAGCAGCAAACAGTGATTCTCTAGTACATGTTTTATACAAGATGTGTTTTGATAAGTTATAAAACTTATTTAAAATTTGAAATTCTTTCAATTTATTGGTATTTCTTTAATGGCTAAGAATGTAGCATTAGCCAAAATTTCATGTTGTTCAGTATACATACTTGTAAATAAATCAAGTCAAGTTGGGCAACCCGTGGCTTTAATTTTCATCTTTGTTCGATCACTGACTAAGAGAGGGGGTGACAGTATTCAACTATTCTTGTGTGTTTTCCTGTCTCTGTTTCAGTTCTATTAGCATGTGCCATGTATCTTTTGAAGCTGTGTTATTAAACATATACACAGACACACACAACACAAACACAACACACACACACACACACACACACACACACACACACACACAGACACAGACACAGACACACACCAGAGAGAGAGACAGAGAGAGACAGAGGGAGGGAGGAAGAGAGAGAGAGGATTAGACTGGATTAGTTACTTTTTAGCATCACTATGACAAAATGACTGAAGGGACAATGACAACTCAAGGGAAAAATACTGTATTTTGCTAAAAAATTTCAGAGGGTTAAGCACATTGCAGCTGGGCAGAGTGATGGAGGAGAGAGAAGTGGTTCATTCCACAGCAGAGAGGAGGGAATGTCTGCTCTTACCTGGCATCCTTCTTTTATACCATTGAGTCTGTCAGGGCCCTTAGTCCATAGGATGATTCCACACATACTCAGGGTAGGTCTTTTCTCTTCAGTTAGATTTTCCTGGAAAGGTCTTCATAGATGCACCTAGAGGGTGAGCTTTTGCAATCTCCTCCATGATCCAGAACCCAGGAAAATAGACACTGAAAATGAGCCATCACATAGGACTGTCTTAATGATCAGTCCTTTCATCACTGAGAAATGCTTTCATTATCTTGGGTGATCAGTTTTAATTTGCAGTGTATTTTGTTTAATAGCAATGTAGTCATTCTTGTTTGCTTATTGCTTGTGTTTTCATGGCAAATGGTTATCTAATGTTTTGTTTTACTATATATGACCACATTTTAAAAGTGTATTATGTAGACATAGTCTAACTATGATCTCTGTCTTTTTAAAAGACTTAGTTGATTTTCCATTATTAGCAGCATCATCATTATCACCTTTTTATTTTGGTGGTGCTGGGTATTGAACTTGGGGCATTGTATATACAAATCAGGCATTTTTCAACTGAGCTACCACTCCAGACCCAGTCTCTGCTTTTTAGTCATAGTAATTAGACCATTTACATTGAATGTAATTGTTGGTGGAGGGTGTCTTTGAGTTCATCATCTTACTATTTTCTATTTGTCCTATATCTTCTCTCCATATTTCTCTTTCTGAGATAATTTTTTAAGTTTAGTATGTTATAATTTTAAATGGAGAGAGTAACTATTCTACTTTATTTTTATTCTTATTCTAGAAGAGTTATAACGTACACATTAATTTACCACAGTCTATGTTCAAATGATATTATATCACTTATAATATTGTTATTTCATTTGTATAAATTTCTTTGACATTTATTATAGTGCATTTTTGTCAATGAATTCTTTTGTTCTTGTTCTGAAAATGGTGGCATTACACAATTAACATCTAGTTTAATCGACTCATATTACAGGGAAAACTGAGTGCCAGTGAGAGAGAGGGAGAGGTTTTGGTAACAAGATTTCTCATCTGGCATTCCATGAACATTGAACTTAATCATTACTGCATCCTTCTTGAGTTGCTTTTTTATAATTCTTAGAACTAAAACTGGGGAAGAATGGAGCAATTTTTGGTCCATTCCACTGAGATGTGTGGGGGTAGAGGCAGTCTTCCAGCCTCTGGACCAGCATTATCATGAGAACCATCACGAGTCCCTCATCAAGAAAACAAAGAAAACATCAAGAAAACAAAACAAATTACCTTTTCAAAAATGAGATCCTGCCTTGATAAACAAGACATGGGCTTAATTTGGAGTTAAGATAACTCAAAGATTTTCATCCTATCATTTATTCTGGTAAAAATTCCAGAATTCATTAGGGGGACTGAAGAAATGTAAATGAAGACCTCAATGCTAGAGGAAACATAAACACCACCTTACCTAAGCATCCAGTGGAATCATCACTTCTTTAATAGCCCCCATATGTAGTAGATGCCAAGGAACTGTCACTCACAATCCTTCTTTTTATTTTATTGCCTTTATGGGCATCAAAGTGTGTTCGCCCAAGTGTCTGGGCCAGAGCCATGTGAATGTTCTCAGCAGTCATCAAGATGACTGGAATTAATATGCACACAGGCAACATGCTCTTCTAATTAACATATACAATTGGGTGGCTATGACTAAAAAGTGAGTCAGAGGAATATAGAGATTGATATTCAGAGTAACTAAAAGCCATGCATCAAATGGCACTGGGTATGAATTATGCAGGAAAGGTATACTCTTGGAACTAAAAGTGTGGGAGGAATGCTATGTGGCTTGCAGATACTTTTTTGGGGGGGGATCATTCATTTGTTGTGCATTTATGAAATAAATATTCTAGATATAGTAGTTACTAAGTAGTAAAATAAGCTAATGATAGCCTGATCCTCCTGTAATCTGTAGGCTGTGGTGGCTTGAATGAGAATTGGCTCCCATAGGGCCCTGTACTTCAACACTGGGTCCTCCACCCCTATCTGCCCCATTGGTAGAACTGTTTGGGAAGCATTAGGAGGTGTGGCCTTGTTGGAGGAGGTGCGTCACTGGGGGTAGGGTTTGAGATTTTGAAAGCCCAAAGCATTCTCATTTAGCTCTCTCTGTGTCTGCTTCATGTCTGTGGATCAGAATATAAGCACTAAGCTACTACTTCAGCATGTGCCTGCCTGCCTCCTGCTATGCTCCATGTCTGGGTCATTTATGGTCATGGCTCACCCACTGAAACTGTAAGCCCAAAAAACTCTTCCTTCCATAAATTGTCTTAGTCATGGGGTCTTAGCACAACAATAAAAAAGTAAGTTAAGACAGACTTAGACAGTAAACATGCAAACACACAAATTTTCATTTAAAATTATGAAGAATACAATGGAGGGAAGCAGAAAGAGAGAGAAAGAGAGACAGAGATCTAAAAATAAATGTATTAGGTGGCATCTTCTAGAGAGGAAGCATCTATGCTGAGACATTAAGGTTGGGTGAAGCTGTGTGAAGAAAGCAATGTGGAGGGGTGAGCAGGTGCTACGATCCTCTTGTG